GGAGACTTATTTGGCCCAGGCCTGAGTACCCAGGAGGAGCCTCCCACTGTCGTGGTGCATGGAGTTGCTGGAATTGGGAAGTCAACACTGGCCAGGCAGGTGAGGAGAGCCTGGGAGGAAGGCTGGCTGTTCAAGGACCTCTTCAAGCATGTCTTCTACTTCAACTGCAGAGAGCTGGCCCAGTCCGAGACCATGAGTCTCGCTGAGCTCATCACAAAAGACTGGGCTGCTCCTGATGCTCCCATTGGGCAGATCCTGTCTCAGCCAGAGCAGCTGCTCTTCATTCTTGATAACTTAGATGAACCAAAATGGGACTTGAAGGAGCAGAGTTCTGAGCTCTGTCCACACTGGAGCCAGCAGCAGCAGGTGCACACACTGCTGGGCAGTTTGCTGAACAAAACCTTACTTCCCACGGCTTCCCTGCTGATCACAGCTCGGATCACAGCTCTGTGGAGGCTCAAACCTTCTTTAAAGCATCCTCGCTGGGTGGAGGTCCTGGGATTCTCTGAGTCGGCCAGGAAGGAGTATTTCTTCCAATATTTCACAGATGAATACCAAGCGATTAGAGCCTTTACCTTGGTTGAATCCAACCCGGCTCTCTTCACCATGTGTCTCATGCCCTTGGTGTCCTGGCTGGTCTGCACTTGCCTGAAGCAGCAGATGGAGCAGGAGCAACCACTCTCACTGACCTCCCAGACGACCACAGCCCTCTGTCTCCATTACTTTTTCCATGTTCTCCAGGCTCAGTCCCTCGCGACTAAGTTGAGAGGCTTCTGCTCTCTGGCTGCTGAAGGCACCTGTCAAGGAAAGACTCTGTTCAGCCTCAAGGACTTCAAGAAACACGGGTTAGATGCTTCCATCATCTCCTTTCTCTTAAACATGGGTGTTCTTAAAGAGCACCCCAACCCTCGGAGCTACAGCTTCATTCACCTGTGCTTCCAGGAGTTCTTTGCAGCAATGTCCTATGCTTTAGGCGATAGAGTGTTGGAAAGTAGTCGCTTTACAAGCATCAAGTTTATAACATACTTGACAGATGTATATGACAAGCGTGACCTGTTTGGGAAACCAACCACATGTTTCCTGTTTGGTCTTTTGAGTGATCAGGGGATGAGAGTGTTGGAGAGCATCTTCAAATGCAGCCTGTCACGGGAGAGGCATTCCTATCTGCTGCAGTTGACCCAGAGGGAAGTTAACTACAAGCATCGTAACCTTGAGCCATATTGTTGGCACTTGCTGCACTGTTTTTATGAGAATCAGGACACACGTTTTCTGACAGAAACGATGTCCAGTTTCTATAGAATGAGGATATGTGTCCAAACTCACATGGAGCTCCTGGTGTCCACGTTCTGCTTTAAATTCTGCCATCGCATGGAGACGCTTCAACTGAATGATGGTGGAGAGGAAACACTAGCTCAAAGGCCTTCAGGTGTAGTTCTGTGAGTGTTCCCCCTCCCCTCTCTCCAGCTCCTCTGTTGGTACTACCGCCCTGGGCACTGGGGCACTCCCACTAAGCCTGGCCCCAGCAGCTTTAGGACTGAGATCACCAGTAACTTTTTTTCTCAATAATTTTTTAAAATATATTTTGATTGATTTCAGAGTGGAAGGGACCTTCATTATAAAGTGAGGTATATATCCTCTAGTCTTATTTTTATGCACATTTCTAGAGCAAAACTGAGCCACACTGTACCTTTTATTTTACAGTCAGCTTTCTTTCTTTATTTTTATATCAAGACTTTCTTCTGTGTTATGAAGTAGCCTGATACAACACCATTTTGAACGACCATACCGTTTCCCATAGGGAAGGTGCCACAAATATCCGACCAGTCCTCTATTTTTAGGCACTTAATTTATTTCTAGTTGTTGTGGTTATATAGGTGAGCTGGTCCTTAAAGGACCAGGGGGCAGGTGTTGCAAGTGGTGGTGGCCTTCAGAAGTGTCCTGAGCAGGCAGAGAAGTGGAGGCCAGAGGAGAGCAAGAGGAATCAGAGGCACAAAGACAAAGTAAGAGAGTTTGCAATAGATGGTGACACATAGAGTCTGGAGAGACTCCCATGGGAAAGTCAGAGGCTGCAGCTGCTGTGGGCAGGGAGATTGTAAAGGCATTGAGTCAGCCAGGCAAGGCAGGGAGAATAGCGAAGAGGATAATGTAAACAACAAGTCTGTGAAGAAATGATGACAACTGGCCCCAGGCTGTGGGAGGGAGAGGAGGCCAATACGAGAGAGTAAGGATGAGCAGCTCTAGGTAGTTGGTTTGTAATTAAGCACTGTGCGTCTTGTTAATAAATTTTTAAGCTTTTCTTTTAGCCTCTCTGATTAAAGTTGGCTAATGTTTCAACAAAACAAAGTGTTTAAAAATGTATTATTCAAATTTCCCGAAACTACATAAATGTTTACAAAACACATAAACTTTCAAATGATACGTGTTTCGGTACCTTTGCAGCATGGTATGTCTTAGAGCTGTTAAAGCTAAAACTGCACTAAGATTTCAGGGATTCTCGGTAACACCTCTACCTCCTCACAAAACCCTCCGTGGCAGCTCCTCTTCTCCCCTCCCTGCAGCAGGGGGACTGACTGAGGCACTGACAAGTGGAACTGCCACACAAAAGGATGGCTCCAGAGCCTCTTCTCACCTTGGAACAGCTCTGCAGACATGAAGGGAAAGATGAATGGAGTGGGGGACATATTGGGTGCTCTTTTCTGGCAAGAAAATAGAGATGGCAGTTTGCAACTTGAAATAGAATTTGAGTCATTGAGCCATGGGAGTGGATAAAGTCACTTCGATAGTGTGCGGAATGTAGAATTTAAATTGGTGGAAATGATATAAGGCAGTTTCCCCTAAAACTCCCAGAAAAAAGCCCATCGTCCTCTCCCCACATCCTGTAAATGTTCTCTCCTGAGACATTCCCCTTTGACATCTCTCTCCTGGAGACCCTCTGTGTGCTCTTGCTTTCCTGGGAAGGGGATAGGGTCCCACACAAGCCAATCTGGACAGCAGCATATATAGTCATAATCAACAATCCCATCACAAAATCATCTTAAGCCACCTCTCCCAATTTCTGTTGTCTCCTCTTACCTCTTCCTTTCCTTTCTGGAAATCGGGACTTAACAGTATCTGTGCCAAAGGAAGAAAGGCATGTCTGTATTGATGAGAGGAAGACTGTCTGCATCCCAGGCTCTGTGCTGGGCACTGCAGATAAAAAAAGATGAACATATATGCCCTTTCCCACAAGAATTTCCCACACTCTGGCAGAAACAGGCCCACCAAAGGAGTACAGCAGTGTAGAATGGCAAGGTCCGTGCCATGAGAAACCACACGGAAGGGGGCAATTAGCCCAGGGTGGTGGGAACAGAGGGGCAGTTCTAGATGGAAGCCTGGCACTCTTAGGGGCCAAATCCCATGGTGTTGAGCACAGTGTGCACATAAGACCCCACACACACCGGTCACATCTCCCCTGTCCCTCTCTCTCCCTCAGGTACAGCTGGGGCCCGTTTACAGATTCCTGGTGGCAGATGTTCTTCTCTATTCTCAAAGTCCCTAGAAGCCTGCGGGAGCTGGACCTGAGTGGGAAAACTCTGAGCTGCTCTGCAGTACAGAGTCTTTGTGACGCCCTGAAAAGCCCTCACTGCCGCCTGGCGACCTTGACGTGAGTCTCGCCTGGGTTCTGATCTGAAACAGGGATGGACAGGAGACCCAAGGTAGAAGTTGTGTCTAGGATGAGTGTGTGGTCTTCGTAGTCAAAAAATATTCACTGAGCCCCTCTCTGACCATGGCTACTGCAGTAAGCAAACACAGACAGGATCCTGTTTTCACAGAGTTTGCAAGTGACTGACATTAACCACACAAACAAATGTGTCATTACAGGCCCAGATAAGGGCCTGCAGTAGAAAACGACCTGAATAAAGTGAATATTGAAGGACATGTGAAGACTACAGAGGGTTTACCTAGGTGAAGCAGGAGGGACAAAAGGTCAAAGTCCCTGTGGCAGGAGGGGGGATGGGCTGTCATGGGATTGAAAGCAGACAAGTGAGGCTGGAGGACGGAGAGCAAAGGAGCCATAGGAGTAGGCTACAGAGATTAGGAAGCCAGACTATCTATGCAAGGCTTGTTGGAATCTGGGGTGGTTGTTTTTTTCTAATGCAATGTGATTATAATCAAAAGATTCATATGATCAGTAGAAGCAGACTGCCATATAAAATCCAGAATGGAGGACAGCAACAAGAGAGGTTGGAAAACCGGTTCTTAGGAAAGTTTCAGTTGTTCCTGTAAAGATGGTGAGAGCTTGGGCCAAGGGAAATTACAGTTTCTGCAAGAAATGGTGGTGTCTTAGACTACTGTGTTGGCCATGAAAATGGAAAGAAGTGAATGGATGTAAGAGATCTGAAGAAAAGTAAAATCAACCAGACTGAGTAATGAATTGGATTTATGGGGAAAGGAAGATGGAGATATAGAAGATGATCTTAGGTTCAGGCCAGAGATATGCATAGGATAGTGGCACCTTCATTGAGATGGAAATACTGAAAGAAGGGTGGGAGGGGATGGGATGTCATGGGTATGATTTTGTGCATGTGTCAAGTTCCTTTGTGGTACCAAAGGGAGATGTCCAACAAGTATCAAATAAAGCTGTAAACAAAAATAAGATGCCCCATAGAACAAAACTCAACAAATTTAAAAGAATTACAATCATACAAATTATCTTATCCGAACATAATAAAATGAAATTGAAAATCATAACAGATGGAAATTTAGGAAATTCACAAATACATTGAAATGAAACAACATACTCCTAAATAAACAATGGGTAGAAAAAGAAATCATTAGGGAAATTTAAAATTATTTTGACCCAGGCCAATGTAGCTCAGGGTTTGAGCACTGACCCAAAAATCCAGAGGTTATGATCCCTGGTCAGGGCACATGCCCAGGTGGTGGGTTCAATCCCCAGTAGTGGGAGTGCGGGAGGCAACCAATCAATGATTCTCTCTCATCACTGATGCTCTCTCTCCTGCTCACCTCCTCTCTGAAATAAATAATATATTTTTTAAATTTATGAAAAATAAACAAACAAACAAATAAATAAATAAATAAAAATATTTTGAGCACTAGCTGGTTTGGCTCATTAGATAGAGCATTGGCCTGGGGACAGACAGGTCCTTGATCCTGGTCAAGGGCACATGCCCAGGTTACTGGCTAGATCCCCAGTAGGGGGCATGCAGGAAGCAGCCTATCAATGATTCTCTCTCGTCATTGATATTTCTATCTCTTTCCCTCTTCCTTCCTCTCTGAAATTAATAAAAATATATTTTTTAAAAAGTATTTGAGATGAATGAAAACAAAAGCACAGCATACCAAATCTTATTTGATGCAGCTAAATCAGTGCTGACAGAGAAATGTATAGATATTAATGCCTAGATTTAAAACAGAAATGGGGATACAACTGCACACTCATTGGAATCGCCAAAATAGAGAACACTGACAACACCACATGCTGACAAGGTTGTGGAGCAAAAGGAACCCTCATACATTGCTGGTAGGAATACAAAATAATATGGCCACTTTGCAGATTCCTACAAAATGAAACACACCCTTACCATATGATCCAGCAATCATGCTCCTTGGTGTTTACCCAAAGGAGTTGAAAACCTATATCCATACAAAAACCTACACACCAATGTTTAAAGCAGCTTTATTTATAATTGCCCAAACTGGAAAACAATCAAAATGGCTGTCAGTAGGTGAGCAAATAAATAATCGTGGTACATCCATACAATGGAATATTACTCAGCGTGCAAAAATGAACCATAAAGATATGAAAATACAAGAGGGAACTATAAATTCATATTACTAGGTATAAAAAACACAACCTGAAAAGCTACATGCTGTATAATCACAACAATGTAAAAGTCTTTAAAAAACAAAAATATGAAGGCAGTAAAAAGGTCAGTAATTGCCAGTGGCTGGGGGGAGAGAAAAAAGATAGAGCATAGCGACTATTCTGTATGACACTACAATGGTGGATATATGTCATTTTATATTTGTCAAAAAGCATAAACTATAAAGCATCAAAAGGGAACCATAATGTAAACTATGGACTTTGGGTGATCATGATGTGTCAATGTAGGTTCACTGATTGCAACAAATTCACTGCTCTGCTGCCAGGTGTTGATGATGGGGGAGGTGTGCATGTGGGGGCAGGGCTATGTAGGAAATCTCTGTGTTTATGCCCAAATGGTTTTGAAAACTAAAACTATTTAAATAAGACAAAAGTATATTTAAGAAAGAAAGAGGAAGTGGTTAGAGAGAGAGAAGAGGGAGAAAAAGAAGAAAGTCAAATCAATAACTTAAAGTTCCACTTTAAAAATCAAAAAGAAATAATAAAAGGAGAAAATATAACAAAAAGCAAGGTGACCCTAGCTGGTTTGGCTCAATGGATAGAGCATTGACCTGTGGACTGAAGGGTCCCGGGTTCGATTCCGGTCAACGGTTGTGGGCTAGATCCCCAGTAGGGGGTGTGCAGGAGGTAGCCAATCAATGATTCTCTCTCATTGTTGATGTTTCTCTCTCTCTCCCTCTCCCTTCCTCTCTGAAATAAATAAAAAGTCTTAAAAAAAAAAAAGAAAGCCAAAGAAAGAAAATAATATGAACTAGAGTGGGAATAAATAAAACTGAGAATACAAAAACAATACAGAAAATAATGACACCAAAAGTTAGTTCTTTGCAAAACTCAGCAAAATTGACAGACTTTTAGCTAGACTGACTAGATTAAAAAAAAGAAACAATTCAAATTACTAATATCAGGAATGGAAGAGAGGTAATCACAATTGACCTAACAGAAAAAATTTTTAAAGAACTTTAAAGAAATATTAAGTACTGTAAGCCAACAAATTAGATAACCTAAATGAAATGGACCATTTCCATCTACGGCCATACCACCCTGAACGCGCCCGATCTCGTCTGAAATGGACCATTTCCTGAAAAACACAACTACTGAAACTGACTCAAGGAGATTTAGAAAGTCTAAATAAACCTATAACAAGTAAAGAGACTAAATTATTTTTAAAAAAATTCCTACAAAGGAAAGCCCAGGCCCAGTTGGTTTCATTGATTAAGTGTACCAAACCTTTAAAGAAGAATTAACAACAATATTCTCAAACTCTGAAAAAGAAAAATAGAAGAGGGGATAATTGCCAACTCATTCGATGACAGCAGCATTACCCTGATATCAAAATCACACAAAGACAAGCAAAGTCATCACAAGGTATTAAAAATACTACAAACCAATATCTCTTATGAATACAGATATGAAAATTCTCAACAAAATACTAAAAACAAATAAAAAGGATGGCAAAGCATGACAAACAGGGACTTATCCCAGGAATGCAAAGCTGGTTTAACTCAGGAAAATTGACCAATACAATACATCATTTTAATATAATGAAAGACAAAAAGTACATGATCATCTCAATAGACATAGACATAGTATTTGACAAAGTCAATACCTTTCACATTAATAACACCTTTTCACTTAACTAGAAAAGAGGAAACTTTCTCAACCTAATGTCTCCACTCTTCCCTGTGAAGTAGAAATTCAGTTATTTACTGACAATGAGTGTGAGGTTGGGGTGTTGGAGACTTGGAGAAGTAAAATATTGAAGTGGGAGATTTATAGAGTGGGAGATTTCCAACTTCCATGCAATTCATAATTGTAGCCACCACGCTTGTTACTCTGGTGGGAGTGTAGGGTAGAGGGACAATGGCAGAGTTTGGGTTAGCTAGAGGGATATGATGAGAGGTAAGAGAATAAGTCATTCAGTCATATTACCAATGACATATCATTGAATTTAAGCTAGATTCCAAGCAAAGTGAAAAAAAGGAAGGTGCTGAGAGATTGGGAGAAAGAAGAGAGTCAAGAAATTGCTCATTGAAGAAGAGTCCTGGTAGGATAAGTTGAGCAAGAGAGGATGTTAACAAATCTAGTCTTTGGGGCCTCCTGTATCCACATGAGGCTTCTTCACCTTTCCTAAAACCCTTCTAATAAGGACCACCTGAGTCTAGGAGGAAAAGCCTTTGAAAAGGTCTCAGAAAACTTTATTCTATCTTAAACTTCACAACAAGTGGAGAGACACCAAGCTACAATGTACTGCTTACGTTGCGATAGAACTTTACAATCTAAATATCAATTCTGTACCTATATATCCTATCTAATAAAAGAGAAACATGCAAATTGACCATAACCCCGACACCCTTCCCATTGGCTAATCAGCATATCCTTATGCAAATTAACTGCCAACCAAGATGGCGGCCGGCAGCCAGGCACTGAAGCTAACAGGAGGCTTGCTTGCTCCAGTGATGGAGGAAGCCAAGGTTCCCCGCC